AGCTCACCTCTGTTTCACTATTTATTTATTTTTAACGTTAATTAATTTATTTTTGAGAGAGAGAGAGCAAGCCGGTGAAGGGCAGAGAGACAGGGAGACAGAGAATCCCAAGAACTGTGAGTACAGAGCCCTAGGCGGGGCTCAAACTCACATACCATGAGATGATGACTTGAGCCAAAATCAGGAGTTGGAGGCTTAACCAACTGAGCCACCCAGGCACCTGTTACCTCTGTTTTAGAGCTAAGCATCTACCCTAGGATGACAATACTCATAAAAATATTTAACATTCAGGAATATTTACCCTGCTGCAGGGACATGTGTTAACTCACTGTATTGTCCCCACAGCTCTGAGAGTAGGTTCTGCTCTTGTCCCCAAGTTAAGAGACTTGTTCAAGGCCACGTAGGTACTGGGCAGCAGAACTGAGACTCAGGGTCAGGGGTCTGGGCCCAGACTGCTCTGGCAGTATGTTCATGTCATATGAGGATTTTAGTTTGGATGACACCATTTAAATTCTTCATGTTTAAAACTGCTTCTTTCATTATAAAATTGAGTATGAACAGTCATAATTGAACCAGGAAAGAGTAGAGATTCCTCCCTTTTTTTAAAAGATAAAACTAGGCTCCAAAATGAACTGTAATCTTTCTGTACATTTCCTTTGGCAAAACTGAGACGGACTAGAACTTTAGAAAGAGAGTTTTTAATGGGCTCCCGGCTGGCTCAGCCGGAAGGGCATATGACTCTTGATCTTGAGGCTGTGAGTTCAAGCACCAAGTTGGGTGTAGAGATTACTAAAAAAAAAAAATAATAGTAATAAAGAGATAATTTAAATGCTATACCTCTCTGTCTCATTGTTTCCTCGTTGTGGCTTATTCTTAACACAGCAGCCAAAATGACCCTGTCCCTTCCTGGGTCACAACCTCCCTGTGCCCTCTCATATCACTAAGGGAAAGTTGAAGTCCTTGCTAGGACTGACATGTTCTCATGTAATCCGACTTTCTTGTTTCTCAGCTCTCATCTCCTGTGGTTCTCTTCTCTCTCACTGTGTCCTCGGCAACTCTGACTTCTTGGCTTCTTGGTTGTTCTTTGTGCACATAGGGCAAGATGGCTGCCTCAGGCTTTGGCCTTTCTGGATTGCTCTTCTCCAAGAAATATATGTGGCTATTGTTGTCGAATCCAGGCCTTTTCTTGAAAATAACCTTTTTAGCAAAGGTTTCCGAGGTCCCTCTCTATCTAAAATCTCAACTCTGTAGGCTCTGGGATGACCAACATTGGCCCAGGAGAAAGGGCTCTCCCAGCACACAGGACTTTCAGTGCTAAAACTGGGTTTGTCCTGAGCAAACCAGGCCAATTAGTCACCTTGTATCATCTCAGCACCTACAGCAATGGCTAGCCTATAACAGCCTTAATAAATATTTGTCAAATAGAAGGAATAAATGAATAAATGAATGAGCAAGTAGGTAAAGGAAAGAAGTATTTTTAGTGAGAATGTGTGTGGTGGTATGTATTGCCCCTAAAATCAGAGTATATAGATATATATGTTCATCATAGCAACTTGTAAGTCTTCTTTAGCATGGAAAGAAGCCCAACTTTCATGAATGGGGGACCAGTATTTCTTGATTTCCTAATCAGAAATGTATAATTTACCAATTTTGCTGCTACTGAAAGTGGTTTGGAATACAGTGTTCCACACTCATCCTTTATTTATTTATAAATTTAAAAAAATGTTCATTTATTTTTGAGACAGAGAGAGACAGAGCATGAGCAGGGGAGGGGCAGAGAGAGAGAGGGAGGCACAGAATCCAGAATAGGCTCTGAGCTGTCAGCACAGAGCCCGATGTGGGGCTCAAACCCACAAACCATGAGATCATAACCTGAGCTGAAGTTGGATGCCCAACCAACTGAGCCACCCAGGTGCCCCCACACTCATCTTTTAGAAAAAGTTAAAATGGCTGTGTTGGCTTTATTGTTTTTAGATATTAAAATGGCTCCCATATTAAAAACATTTTTTTAATGTTTATTTATTTTTGAGAGAGAGAGAGAGAAAACCGGGGAAGGGCAGAGAGAGAGGGAGACACAGAATCTGAAAGCAGGCTCCAGGCTCTGAGCTGTTATCACAGACACTGATGCGGGGCTTGAACCCACAAACTGCAAGATCATGACCTGAGCCGAAGTCGGACACTTAACCGACTGAGCCACCCAGGAGCCCCAAATGGTTTCCATATTTCAAATGGCAATGATGCATTTTTAAATGTGCACTTTTTTCCATTGCTAATGATCCTGAGTCCTAATTCTCTTCTCCATCCTAATGCTTCCTTCAGCTCTTGCTGCCTGGACCTTCCTGGAGTTGCTCCCTGAGCCATTCTGCTCACACAGCCTGCCATTCCACTTACTGATGCCCCCTATTTGCTCCCACCAGTCTCCCCAACTTGAGCTCCTTTGAGTGAGAATAATCTAATATTGGTCTGTCATACATCATGTTCTTGTTCTTCAAAATATGTTTGGCACGAGGGTGCCTGGGTGGTTTGGTCATTAAGCATCTGATTTTGGCTCAGGTCATGATCTCACATTTTATGAGTTCGAGTCCCACACTGGGTAGGCTCAAGCCCTGCTTTGGGTGAACACAAGCTCTGGCTGAGCCACGCTTCTCTCTCTGTCTCTCTCGCCTTCTCTGTATCTCTTGGTCCTCACTCATTTGCACCCTTTCTCTCTCTCTCTCAAAAAAAAAATTTTTTGGGGGGCAAGAGAATTCAATAAAGCAGCATAAGACAGTGATGTATTCCTTTTTGCATTCCTTGACCCTACCATGGTTTGTATATTCCTTTATTCATTCAACACATCCTTTTTGAGTCCCACAATGTGCTAGACACTGGGAATACAACAGTTAACAAAATAGTTTCCCTGGCCCCTCAAGTAGGGGACGAGAAAGTAAATAGGAATGATCAAGGGAATCTTGACATTACATTGTACTTATTTATGATAAATATTGGATACTATCAGACATATAGGAAGGGTGCAGTGACTATCATAGGTCAAACACTAAATGTTATTTGAACCATGAATGGTTGAGTGATTGTGTGAATAAATGAATGATTGCGTGGATATAATTGTTATGAGAGCACAGAACCCTCAGTGTAAGTCATCACTATCAACTGCAAAGATGCTTCTCCAATTTTTCTGTTTGGAAGAGGCCAGCTCATCTGCATCTATATCATGAAAAGCACAATTTTTCTTTCCCCTTCTCTCCTCTTCTCTCCTCTCTGCTCTGATCAAATACCAGCGTGAAATGAAAGGTGCCTGCTGAGCACCCGCAATGCCAGTCAGCACACCCCATCTACTTTGCTCAGGACTCTCTAATAAAAGAACTCTGATGTCAGGCAAAATTGTACCCTTCTGAAATTCTTTTCAGCATTTTCATTATTGACTAAACAAAGTATGTGCTGGTCTTCAAGGCAGCTGATTGTACAGCCAAAATGGGTTGCTTAACTTTGCATAGGGGGATCAAATCCTGTCTGTGCTCAGCGCGAGGTGGGAATTGTTTTCCCAGCTGAACTTCGCCCCTTAGTTTCCGCACATCTCTTCCATCCCTTCCAGCGATTTGCTGGTCTGCACTGTTGATTCTACAAGCAGCACAGCAGGGTTTATCAGAGGGCCATCTACTCTTCTCAGTAACTCCCTAGTACAGTAAACATCTGCTGTGGGACTGGAAAGAGCTGGTTCAAGCCAGTTTTTCCTCATTGCACTGGGCATTCTTAACTTTTGACAATCACCTCTTTCTTAATTTCCCCCTGCCACATCAGAACCTGTAGAAATGTTGCTTTTTAAGGAAACCCCCAGTTTTATATGTTAAAATATTCAAAGTAAATTACAAATAGGAATTATTACATTTTAGATGCATTCAAAAGATTCATATGCATCTCTAATAAGTGAGGACATTTTCCTACATAGCCATAATTAATTATGATTCCTTAATACCCTGTCTATATCTAAATTTTCCCAGTTTGTACCCAAAAGGTCTTTTATGGTAGGTTTGCCAACACTAGGATTCAATCAAGGACTGTGTATTGCATTGGTTTGTTATATGTAGATGAGCGGTCCCAGGGTACTTGATGGCGGAAACAAAGGCAGAAGGAAATGGCAGGTAAAATTAAATTTCCTGGGGCGCCTGGGTGGCTTAGTCGGTTAAGCGTCCGACTTTCACTTAGGTCATGATCTCGCGGTTCGTAGGTTCGGGCCCCGCGTTGGGCTCTGTGCTGACTGCCAGCTCAGAGCCTGGAGCCTGTTTCAGTCTGTGACTCCCTCTCTCTCTGACCCTCCCCTGCTCACGCTGTCTCTCTCTCTCCTAGAAATAAATAAAACATTAAAAAAAATTTTTTTAATTAAATTTCCTTACAACCTGCAGCCCACTTGAGAAATACTTGAGGCTGGCACAATAAAACATTTCTCCAGAAACTCCCTGCTGTCTTAATGTTTTGCTAGAGGGAAAAACAACTTTAGCTTGACAATAGCGAGGCCTCCAGTATCCTGTGAATCTTCTTTAGCACATGAAAGTCTCTTTGGAAACTTCCCCTTGACTTTACCTTCCCCAACTCCAAGTATATAATCAGTCTCTCTTCATGGTTCTGAGGCAGCTCTTCCTGCCCATGAGTCTTGTCCCCATGCTTTAATAAAATCACATTTTTTGTACCCATGATGTCTCAAGAATTCTTTCTTGGCCATTGGCTCTGGACCCCACCATCACCCCAAAACCCCATCAGTACTGACCGGTGGCAGAGACCAGACCAGCTCTCCTGTAGGATATATGATTCACCTGATTGCTTCCTCGTGGTGTTATTTACCTTATTCCTGTATCACTTGTATTCCCTCTGAATCGGAAGTGAAATCTAAAGACTTGATTAGATTCCACTCAGGGACTTTTGTCTGATATACCATCACTGATGATTCATGTTTCTAATTCTGTGTCACAACAGGAAACTCATGATGTCTGATGATTTTGTTGCAGGATTCTTTACTTCAATACCTGGGGTTTGTTGTCTCGCCACTTCGAAGAATGAAGAGGTGAACACGAATAAAATGAGTAGCATGCAAAAGTTTATTGGGGTATAAGATTAGAAAGTAAGAGTAGCATGATGGCTCTCTTTGCACAGAGGAGGGTGTTTGAAAGTTAATTCCCAGAACAAAAAGCAAGGGATTTTGTTTTATGAGGTTTTGGTTGCATTCTTCTTCCTTTCCCCTTATTCCTTCTCCTCTGTTTCTCTTCAGGTTCTACCCTTATTGGTTAGATAACTCTAAACACCTAGTCATTTCTTTTTAATTGGCTAGTTTCCATTGTACAAGGGATGATTTATGGCCATGTTGTTCCTTGTGGGTCATACATTTTATGGTCTACTACTTATCTCTAGTTAGGTCTTTTGTCAAATTCTTGAGGGAAACCTGAGGGAAAGTAGGTGGTGTCTGTTACATTCTTAAGAGGAATCTTATGCCCAGTGGGGTTTGCTGTGGTCATATGCTCCCAGAATTGTTTCAAACCACCTGTTTTCCCCCACCCAGGGATTCCTCTCTGCCTATTTTATCTTATCTTTTTCCCATCATAATTTCTCCTCTTGCAATTAGAAATCTTGATATAAATTTTATTAGTTTTTCTTTTTTTAAGTTTATTTTTTTAATTTTAAAAAATGTTTATTTATATTTGAGAGAGAGAGAGAGATAGAGAAACAAAGCATGAATGGGGGAGGGATAGAGAGAGAGGGAGACACAGAATCTGAAGCAGGCTCCAGGCTCTGAGCTGTCAGCACAGAGACTGATGAGGGGCTTTAATCCATGAACTGTGAGATCATGACCTGAGCTGAAGTTGGACATTTAACCAACTGAGCCACCCAGGCGTCCCTAAAAAAATTTTTTTTATGTTCATTTAGTTTTGAGGGAGAGGAAGAGAAAGAGAGTGTGTGAATGGGGTAAGAGAGATAGAGAGGGAGACACAGAATCCAAAGCAGGCTCCAGGCTCTGAGATGTCAGCACATAACCCAATGCGGAGCTCGAACCCACAAATCGCGAGATCATGACCTGTTGAAGTCAGCCGCTCAACCAACTGAGCCAGCCAGGGTCCCCAGTTTATTTAGTTATTTTTGAGAGAAGGAGAGAGAGCCCAGCAGAGAGAGGGGGAGAGAGGGAGAGATAGAGAATCCCAAACAGGCTCTGCACTGGCAGCATGGAGCCCTACATGGGGCTCAGCCTTACAAACCGTGAGACCATTACCTGAGCTGAAGGTGACTCAGATGGATGGTAAACTGACTGAGCCACCCAGACACCCCAATACAAATTTTAAAATTAATTAATTTCATTGAAAAAGTAATAACTACTCATATTAACACATTAAGATACTAAAAAAAAAGTATCAGAGATAAGGAAGTCTTCCTACGACACCATAGTTTTGTTAGGGTAGGCAGTTAGGTTCTAAAAGGATACCTGGAGGCCAGCATAGAGGAAGTCATGGGCATCTATTGGGAAAGTCAGAGCTCTGTCCTGGCAACACTCCACAAGAAGCCAGATCAAGCCAGACAGGCCCAAGATAGCAGGTGCCATGACAGGAAACCCCTGACCACGTAAGGAAGAAAAGGACAGAACACTGCTTCTAAGGAATCCCTGCCCCAGGTAGTGTATATTCCACTCCCTAGTTAAAGACTGTCAATAAAAGATAGAAAACCAAACCCCAAGCAGCAGTTCTCTCTCTCTCTTGAGTTCTCCTTCTCTCACATCTTGAGAGTGTACTTTTGCTTTCACAGACTTTCCCCCTTGTGATGTGTGTCTGTCCTTGAATTCTTTCTTATGATGAGACTAAGAACTTTTGGGGATTTTTCTGGGATGCGTTGGGTCAAGCCCTCAGGGTATCTCCCAGTTCACCTGACAACAGTCTCAATCCCTAGTCTCCTTTTCCATAGGAGGGAAGCATTCCTCCGGGAAATATCCTACACAAACACAGTAGGAACACACTTTGATTTAACAGCATATCTAGGAAATCCATCCATTTCAGTATGTGTTGACTTAGTGTATACTTTTAATGGCTGCATGGTTTATCATCCTGTAGATGTTCCTTAATTCACTCAACTAATGGTTCATTATGGATATTTTGGTAATTTCCAGATAGGTACTTTTGCACAAAAAGAAAATAAATAACTGTAACATAAACCACTCAATCAGATTGTTGTATCTATGTTATGATGTATGGGAGACATGGAGGTAGAAATTGTATAAAAGGCTACACCTTGATATGCTTGGGGTTCAGTTTTTTGGGTATGAACCCACTGAGCCTGTGCTGGCATGACTAAAGTTGCTTCCTGGAAAGAAATCCTTGGTGTCACAACTCTCTGTGAGTTCTATGCTGACAGCAGCAAGTCTGATGTGGAACTTAAACCCATGAGAGAGCCACAAGATCATGACCTGCACCCAAGTCAGACACTCAATCAACTGAGACACCCAGCTGCCCCAAGAGTGTGTAAATTCTACATTTTAATAGACATGATAAAATTTCTTTTCAAACAGTTCATACCAGTTTACACTTCTACAAAAAGCATATGTGTGGTAGTGTCTTTTTCCTTATACCCTCATGACCATAAGATATGGGTTTTTTTTCAATCAATGATAAGCACAAAAAGATATTTCATTGTTTTAATATGCATTTCTCTAAAATGTGTTGTATATCTTCATCTATATTTCCTAGGTGAAGGAAACGTATTTTCTAATCTACAGGGTAAGGAAATTCTTAGCATATCAAATGTATGCAATATTTGTGGCAGGATATTAGCATTCAGATTGCTTTAATCTGTAAATGTATTACCCCCCCTCCCTTTTCCTGCACTGCAAAGATAGAAATATTTCCCCTGCCTCCAATAAAGATGTCTTTTCGGAAGGTGAACCTCATTTTTCTATTGATTTTGGTCTAAAGTCCCATTATCACTCAAAGAGCAAGAGGAAAAGAGAATTTCTCTGAAAACTTTATAAGGTTGTGGGCATTGAGGGAAATGGGGAGGAGGCTGTATGATGTGCATGTGGGGGGTTCAGGAGATGAGAATTGATCTCCAGAAGTTGCCCAGAAAGGGAGAAGACCTGCTGCCAAGGGAAGGAAGGATCAAGTTGGTCCTGGCATGTACTGTGTTAAGGGATAACATGTCAATGCTCGGAGCTGTGTGAACTCTCTGCCAGTGCCTGCAGACCACAGCCTGGAACCTCATAGCATCTCTACCAGGTGCACTGTGCCTCCTGGGGCATCTGATTCACAGTATCCTATCCTACAGTGGAATAGCGATTGTCAAGCAGTGGTGATGAGGCTAGTGCTGACCCCTAGGCTTTGCTTGGCCCCCAGCTCTATACGTCTCCCTCTCATAATAATTGCCAGTACAAGAAAATGTGGTGGAATGGAGTTCAGAATGCCAATCTCATAGGTGAGCTGCGCCCTCACAATATCTACATGCATGGGGAGAGGGTTGAACTAAGACAACTTGAGATGCACTCCTGGAAGAGCAGTTTCTAATCCTTGTTACACATTCCCATTTGAATTTATCTTTGTTTAAAGCATTTTGGATTTTGTGCATACATTTAAATTTTCTGTATGGTAACATTTATGTTTTTTCCTTTTATGGATTTATGTTTAAAACTTTGATCAACCTTGAACTTGTTCTAAGAGTTCCAACTTTTCCTTTCCATATGATTGACCAAATATCCATCATTATTATTTTTTTTAAATTTTTTAATGTTTTATTTATTTCTAGGAGAGAGAGAGAGAGAGAGAGAGAGAGAGAGACAGCACGAGCAGGGGAGGGTCAGAGAGAGAGGGAGACACAGACTCTGAAATAGGCTCCAGGCTCTGAGCTGGCAGTCAGCACAGAGCCAGAAGCGGGGCTCAAACACACAAACAGAGAGATCATGACCTAAGCGAAAGTCGGACACTTAACCGACTAAGCCACACAGGCGCCCCCAAATATCCATCATTATTAAACAGTCCAGCTTTTCCTCACTGACTTGAAATGCCCCCTTTATCATACATTAACTTTCACTGATCTTTCTTTTAAAAAATGTATTTATATATTTATTTTTGAGAGAGAGAATGAGCAGAGGGGAGCAGAGAGAGGGAGAGACAGAATCCCATGCTGACAGCACAGAGCCAGATGCAGAGCTTGAACTCACAAACCAAGACATCATGAGCTGAGCTGAAATCAAGAGTCAAGCACTTAACCAACTGAGCCACTGAGGCACCCAGATCTTTATTTTTTTTTAATACACATATTTAGCTACATTACAAATAGTGATTATTTGGCTAGGTTACACCTTCCTCACTACCCATCTTTTTCTAATTTTCCCATAACCCCTATGGTTTTTTTCCCTCTAATGTGAACCAGAGAGTTTGCATGTCTATTTTGCCTCAATCTTAATATTTTTCACTGGGATCATATTATATTTGTTAATCAATTTAAAACAACTATGCCGCTTACAATATTGTGTTTATCTCTTTATAAGCACATGTCGATTTATCCGTATTTATGCATATTTGTTCTATAGACCACAGTTATTAATTTGCAAAGTAGATGAATGACTTTCCTTTTTCTAAAAGTCTAAATGAACTACTCTTAGCAGGTATGGTCCTTAAGTGATTTTCACTTTATTTGTTTATTTAAATTTTATTTTTTAATGTTTTATTTATTTTTGAGAGAGAGACAGACAGACAGCATGAGTAGGGGAGGGTCAGAGAGAGAGGGAGACACAGAATCTGAAACAGGCTCCAGGCTCTGAGCTGGCCATCAGCACAGAGCTCGATGTGGGGCTTGAACCCACGAACCATGAGATCATGACCTGAGCCAAAGTCAGACGCTCAAGTGACTGAGCCACCCAGGCGCCCCAGTGATTTTCACTTTTTATGGACTGAGGAACCAAGGTTTAAAATCACATCCTTACCACCTAACATATATAATTCATGTTTATTTGTTACTTTGCTGCTAAACCCTAAGGCTTGAGGGGTGACTGAGTGGCTCAGTTGGTTGAGCATCCGACTTTGGCTCAGGTCATGATCTCATGGTTCATGGGTTCGAGCGCCGCATCAGGCTCTGTGCTGACAGCTCAGAGCCTAGAGCCTGTCTTCGGCGCTGTCTCTCTCTCTCTCTCAAAAATAAATAAAACATTAAAAAAATTAAAAAAAAATAAACCCTATGGCTTGAAATGAGATGGTTTTAATTTGTACTGGTGTGGACCCAAGGAAGGGGTTTACCACGAAAGATAGCTCCCCTGCCTGATGTAGCCTCTCGATTCTTGCTCTTTACCCACTGTCGTCCACTTTCCTTTTCACAAACTTCATCCGTCAAACAAACTGTTGTTGTCCAAGCATCCACTCCTGGAGTGTGGTTTTCAGGACCAGGTACTAAATTTAAGCAGAGGCTTTAATGCCGGAATGTGGCCAGAAGAGAATCACCATGAGGGTGAAGGGATTGGAAACAAAGTCATGCAATTATATTACACTACACAGTGTGCACTGAGTGCTTGCTGTATGCCAGATGCTGTTCGTCACTATCTTGTTATTTCACTTAATCCTTAGTACTCCAGTGAGGCTGGTTCTGTTGTTATCCTCATCTGACAGAGGAGGAAATAAAGGCAGAACAGTTAATTGTCCAAAACACAGTGCTAGTATGACAAGGCATATCTTCAAAGTCTATGCCTTTGGTTGGAGGAAATGAGGAGGAGTAAGTATAGGGAAGCATGACACCTACCTTTAAATTTTTGAAGACCTAACATATGGAAGAAACCATACATTTGTTCTATGGGTGCCCAGAGATGAATATGTGGACAAGCAGGCAAAAGTTGTTGATAAATCGATTTCTGGTTAATGAATGCAATGACTTTCAAGGAATGAACTATATCTTAAGGAAGAGTATGTGATCTTGCAAGGTGGTGAGATACTACTGGTAAAGTCCAAACAGAGACTGGCTGGTCCTGGTTGGGTTTGCTGGTGAAAATATTCAGGCACATACTTAGTGATTTGTATTAGTTATCCTCAAGGACCCTCAAGGCCTTGAGAGAATGGTAAATGATTCACTTTTTAATTTCCAGCATGATGGGATTATGTATTATGCATAGAGTGGCAACATGTATTTATTTATTTATTTATTTATTTATTTATTTATTTGTTTATTTATTTATAGAGGGAGAGACCATGAGATGGGGCCAGAGGATCCCAAGCAGGCTTCTGTAGGAGTTTAACCTAAACTCCTAATCCAAGATCGATAGTATTGGTGTGAGTGGGAATAATATGGTTAAGACTATGATGAGAGGAGGTAAAAAGGTTATTTTTTTTGTGCTTTCAAACTGTCAGTTTATTTTTATGCCATTTGTTGAAGGGAATATGGTTAGTGCTGTGGCGTGCCTGAGTTGTATACAGAAGTATAGGTTAAGTAATGCTGTGATGGCTGGTAGTGTAGTTATAATAATTACTTCATTTTTAGTCAGTTCTTGAATGGTTTTTCATTTTGGGATGAATCAGCACTAGGCCCATCTCTCCTAGTCATAGTATCAAATATATATGGAACCGATTATGTATAAAACCTAAATCTCCTACAGTGCTAAAACTTATTATCCCAACTATCATAGTAATTCAACTAACATGACTATCAAAAACCAACATAATCTGAATTAACACCTTACAGTCTATTAATTAGCCTCACCAACCTTCATCAATTTAATGATAATAGTCTTAACTTCTCACTACTATTCTCAGACTCTCCACACTCCTACTGGCGTTAACAGAATGACTTTTACCATTAATAAAACTTACAGCCAGCCAGTCACATTTATCAAGAGACTTTAACCTGAAAAAAACTATACATTACAATATTCACCCTTCTACAACTATTTCTAATCATATCTTTACTGTCATAGAATGAATTATATTTTATATTCTATTCAAAACCACACTAGTCCCCACCTTGATCATCATGGCCCGATGAGGTAATCAAACAGAATGACTGAACACAGGCCTCTATTTCCTATTTTATACCTTAGTAGTTTCATTACCCCTCCTAATCGCACTATAATATATTCAAAACACATCAGGGTCCCTAAATTTCCTAATCATACAATACTGAACCAAACCAATCTCAACCACCTGATTAATATTTTCCTGTGACTAGCATATGTAATAATATTCATAGTAAAAATACCCTTCTATGGATTATACCTCTGACTACCTAAAGCACATGTAGAAGCCCCTATCACTGGGTCAGTAGTTCTTGCCGCTTACTTCTGAAACCAGGCAGGTATGGAATAATACATATTACAATATTACTCAATCAACTAACAGACCAAATGGCATACCCTTTCTTAATTCTGTCCCTATGAGGAATAATTATGACAAGCTCCATTTGCCTACATCAAACAGATCTAAAATCCCTAATCACATATTCATCTATAAGCCATATGGCCCTAGTCATGGTAGCAGTCTTCATTCAAACACCATGAAGCTATAGAAGAGCAACAGCTCTAATAATTGACCATGGACTAACACCACCAATACTGTTCTGTCTTGCAAACTCAAACTATGAATGAGTCCACAGTTGAACAATAATCCTAGCACGAGGCCTACAGACTCTCCTCCTCGATGTGGGGCTCGAACTCACCAACTGTGAGATCATGACCTGACCTGAAGTTGGACGCTTAACTCACTGAGCCATCCAGGTACCCTAGAATGACAACATTTTAATGAGTTCCAGGTTATCTACTTTACAGAAATAGGATTGAAAGTCTGATTCATATTAAGCAAAGCTGATAAAAATACATGAAAATGCACAACAGAAAAATTTGGATAAAATCTCATAAAAGGAGCCACTGTGTACATGATAGAGGTTGTGAAGTATAGTAGTTATGAACGTGGATTCCAGAGCCAGACATGTGGGTTCAAATCCCAGTTCTGTCATTTACTAACTGTGTGACCTCAGGCACGTTAACTTAGATTGAGTTTCCTCATATGTAAATTACTGTGTTAAAAAAAATGATCTCATTATTTAATCCCAATAAAGGACAAATGAATGTGGATAGACAGATAGACAGATAGATAGATAGATAGAGCTTGAAAGCAAGAGTGAAGCAACAGCCTGGAACATAATAAGGAGTAGAAGTTTGCTATTATTTTCCAAAGAATGTCCATGATGTATTAAATATTCACAAGTACATCATTTTTAATTTTACTAATTGTCATACATTGATACATTGTTTTGGAAAAAGCAGAGAGATATTGGCATGTGGCAAATAACACAAACATAAGTCAAGAAAATATTACACCATGATGGATTAGAATTGATTTTTAAGAAAGTCTTCTAAAACTATTGATTTATTTTTACTTCTTTTAACAATCAAAAATAAGTATTTCATCGAGCATTTATTATTTTGCCTAGCACAGTGCTAACTACTCCAAGGAAAAAAATGAGAAGCACAGCACATTGTCCTTGTCTTAAGTAGTTTATAATCTAGCTATTTGTGATTGTGAAGACACATTAAAAAAAAACCTCTAGACTCTAACACTATCTTTTTCTAAGGACATAACACCTTTAAGTAAAATCATCTTTGAAAGTAATCACATAACCCTGCCATTGCTCAAGACATTTTTTGCTTCTCTTCCTTGGGACTGCCCTTGGAGTCATTATACAAATCACGTAAAAAAAAGCAGACTCATCGCTATTCCATCTTCTCAGGCACCTAGCTTGGTTGCCTGAATTAATCATAGGTTTGGTGTTCAGTGACTTCTGGTTACTTTAAAATCTCAAATTCACTCTAAAAGACAAGTTTTGCTGTTATTTAAAAAAAAATTTATTTGTATTTGAAATAAAGAGAACACAAGCAGAGTAGGAACAGAGAGTTGAGAGAGGCAGAAGTGGGCTTTGCACTGACAGCAGAGAGCCTGATGTGGGGTTCAAACTCAAGAACCGTGAGATCATGACCTGAGCCAAAGTCAGAGGCTTAACTGACTGAACCACCCAGGTGGCCCAAGTTTTGCTATTCTTGATGACCTCCCAAAGAATGTACCACAGCATCACTGCACAGTAAGGAAGTGGGGGACCAGGGGCCTTTCCCATCATCTTTGCATCCACTGCAGCATCGGGCTGGGTCTTCATCCCCAGCAGGGGCACAAGATGCACAAGATGCACACGTCGAACTGAACCGAAGGGCCGGCAGCACATTAGCTGTTGAGCATCTGGAGATAGCACGCTGGGCTGGGGGTAAAGGCGAGGAAGCTTTCCAGATGGGGCTGGCTGGGGATTTCCTTCTGTTCTGTTATTTCTGAAACAGCACTACTTCTTAGACATCTGGCCGTGACAGTGAAGGACAGAAAGGTCTGCCTGAAGCTGGCAACAGATTTTCCCAATATTCCCTTCTAGCCCTGTGTTTGAAAAAATAAATAAAAAATGCATACCTGTTTTATAAGTCTAATATATATGTGTCTATGTGAATATAAATAAGTAAGTACATATGCATGTTATGTACTTTTACATATGCATATGCATGTTACATACATACATATGCATGTATGTATATTTGTATTTGCCGCATACACATAGGTTTGGTGGATGATCAGGCTAAAGTAGAACTTCAGTTTCAACATACAGGCTGAAAAACCATGTCCATTAATGCTTTTCTCACATTTCTATCAAAAACAATCACTGGGTTTCATACCACCTCTCAGAAAAAGAAAACGTGTTTAACTTGTACATGTGTTGGTGAATTACAATTATTCTGAAATTTCTAGCAGGGTCCTTCTAGCTCTCCTCAACATTTTTATATAATGGCAAATGTATGCAGACAGAGTTTTACAAAAATGTTTATTTATTTTGAAAGAGAGAGAGAGAGCACAAGCAGGACAGAGGCAGGGAGAGAGAGGAAGAGAGAATCCCAAGCAGGCTCCACACTGTCAGTGCAGAGCCTGATGCAGGGCTCGAACCCACAAACCATGAAGTCATGACCAGAGCTGAAATCAAGAGTTGGCTGTTTAATTGACTGAGCCACCCAGGCGCCCCAAAGATGTTTTTAAATGTAAAAACATAGCATAAGCCTTCAAAAGTAACCTGAATCTGAATACAAGTTACTTTGTTAATATTTGTTCTTATTTTTAGACAAAGAAAGAAGAGTACAAAGGTTCCTGGTCACAGACCTTTATAGTAAATATATTTATATAGCTTTTTACACTTTATTATCAAGCAATGAATATATTGACATATTTTGGATGATGAAAATGTCAGAAATCTGGGATGTCTGCAGGTTTCGGTGTAATCACAAGTTTTTGTGAACATCAGTATGTTTCGGAGTTCAAGATGCAAGAAATGTCTGGCTTTGTTCTACAGAAAAATGTTTTATCTTTACTTGGCAATGAGTTTTAAGGATCCCTAGATAATAATTAAAGTAAGCCATAGCTCACTTATTTGAACTATTTTAATCATCACCAAAGTGTGCTCTCATCTTTTAATTTTGTATTACTTTGTTCTAAGTTTGATACCCATAAAAGCAATTTTCTCTGATAAACATACATATCTCCCAGAAGAAATGTTTGGCTAAATGATATCTTGCCTACTTTTACAATCTAAATAAATTTACATTAGGGAAGTTGTTTCAGGTAAAAAATGAAGACTGTTCTAAATCCCACTGAAGGGGTACCTGGGTGGGTTAAGTGGCCAACTCTCGATTTCCGCTCAGGTCATGATCTCATGGTTTGTGAGACTGAGTTCTGTATTGGGCTCTGTGCTGACAGTGTGGAGCCTGCTTGGGATTCTCTCTTTCCCTTTCTCTCTTCCCCTCCCCTGCTCATGCAAGCGTGCACACTATCTCTCAAATAAATAAATAAACATTAAAAATTAAATCCCACTGAAATGGATAAAGAAGTTAAAAAAAATGGGTTAAATATATAATAGCACTGAAGCAAGACGATGAGACAGCAGAGATTGACTGGTTTCTAAAAGAGGGCAAAGGGATGGCATTGCACAGATATAGATGAGAGAGAGTCAGAGATTGAGTGATTCATAACACAACAGTCATTCAAGAGGTCCTCAGAAAAATGTCTTCAATAATAAAGTGCATTGATGAATAGCATAAATTGTAACAATTTATAACAAATAGCATAATTTAGAAGTTGGAAGACCTTCGAGAAAGAAGACCTGTTATTCTTCTTTCAACAATGAAAAGGAAGCTAATTAGAAGTTCCTAGAAAACCAAATGTACCAAGAATGTCACAGTCTAAGTGTGAAACAAATTAAAATATGGCATGCATGTGGACTACAGATGAAATGAAATGTGAGAGAAGAGAATCTTGGAACATTCTCTTACAGGAGAGGCTCAAGTGTCTTAAAGCAGAATTATTTCTTTTTCTCCATAGTTCCATGCTTATGTCTTGGTTCTACAGTGAATGTTTAGAAAATCATTAATGTATCAGGGTATTAGCCTGGAAATTTTATTGGCAGCACCAAGGCATGGCAGACATGAGGTATCACGGTCAGTCGTAAGACAGACACTCTGCAGAAGTTTCTCAAGAAGTGGCCAAGAGCCAGTTACATGGCTCACCTCACTCGACCCTGGAAAATCTAGCTCACAGACCAAAGGGCCAGCTTCTCTGATTGAGAGCAAAGAGGGTGCCATTAAATTGGGATCAGACTGCACTCTTGGAATTTGTTTGCATGAGGGAAGAATGAAAGGTCTTCTAGTCAGTATTGGCCCCCAAGCGAAAGAGAGCCATCCTGGAGGTGTTCAAAACTCCGGAGGTATTTAGAATCACCAGGAAGGACAATGAGCCCCCCGAAACAAGGTGTTATCCAGAGCAACCTGCTGAAAAAGCAGGATCTGAAAGGGAAGTGGCAGTGAGAGAACAGGTCGCCTGTGACATCCCAGGGGACGGCTGTGAGGGATAACAGGGGCATTCAGGAAGACCCGCCAGGCCCAGAAAATGCAGTCTTCCTGTTAGGCTGTCACACAAGGATGAATAGCTGACTCCCCTTTCCATCCTCTCTCTTCTCCCTGAAGAGGTCAGGAACCTTGGTTAGCAGCATGGGAAGGGAGGGTTGGAAGCATAAGAAAGAGAAGGACCAGCCTGGCTTTCCCTAGTTTCCTGCCTATTGAAAGACAACCAATGGAAAACAGGAGGAGATGTAAGCGTCATGTGTTCCAAGTTTTGATTTTTCTACACTTTTAATTACTGAATTAAGACTGTGTTTGCTAAATAGAGTGGTGAAGGGGTTTTCTATTGCCTAAGACTATCCATCGAAGTCCTAGGTCATGTCCATATTTTTAAATAGGGACAGAGGAAAGAATTCACCCAATGAGCAGGTTTAAAGAGCAGAGAGAGAGATGAAAATAAAGTGGCACTCTGATTATTACACTACATGAATCTGTTTAATATGACAATTACAATAATAGTGTAAATGTTATTTACTAGATTTACATTTTTTTAAAGTTTATTTATTTTGTTAGAGAGAGTGCAAGTGGGGAAGGGGCAGAGACATAGAGAGAATCCCAAGTAGGCTCCACACCACCAGTGCAGAGCCTGATGCAGGGCTCAAACTCATGAACCAGAAGATCATAACCTGAGCAACCTCGGACACTTAGCCAACTGAGCCACCCAGGCACCCAGCTTTACATTTTTATGATAAACCTATAGTCAAAGCTTGAAAGACTTAATTATAATTATCAAGCAGAACTCAATGATGTAACTGTTATGGTACACCTTAAAGAAGCAAAGAGGTAGATGAGGAAGAGAGAGTAGAGGGGAGCAGAAAGGGTTAATTCTTAAAAATTTTTAAAAAAATGTTTATTTTTGAGAGAGGGAGAGACAATTCATGAGCCAGGGAGGGACAGAGAGTGAGGGGGACACAGAATCTGAAGCAGGCTCCAGGCTCTGAGCTGTCAGCACAGAGCCTGACGTGGGGCTGGAACTCACGAACCATGAGATCATGACCTGAGCCAAAGCTGGATGCTTAACTGACTGAGCCACCTAGGCGCCCCAAGTTAATTCTTATTTTACATAGTGGAAGTAAGAGATACTGCTTGATATCAATGGATTAAGAAATAAGTGGTGAAATAGAAAATTCAAACTTAGATAACCAAAATAATAAAAATGTAATACATCAAAATTGGGGAAACTAGAGCAGGGACAAAGGGGAATATTATATGATTTAAATACCTCAGCTTTTGTAGAGGATTAGTAGTAATTACAGCTTAAAATTGATAAAACCATAAGTAAGGTATAAGATTTCAAAACACAAATGGGCAAACAGGTGATCACCTCTGGGAATGGCACTGGCATCAGGAGGGGCAACCTTTAGTTTTACTTTTAGCACTTTTACAAAATGTTAATTTATTTTTGAGAGATAGTACATGAGCTGGGGAGGAGCAGAGAGAGAGAGGGAGACAGAGGATTCGAAGCAGGCTCCATGCAGGCAGATGTGGGCACAAAGTCAGGAACCTGTGAGATCATGACCTGAGCCGAAGTGAGACGTTCAACTGACTGAGCCACCCAGGGGTCCCTAGTTTTAACTTTATATACTCGTATACTTTTCCAATTTTTACTGCACGCATAGTGTTTCTGACAATAAATAAAATGAGGTTAGAGCAAAGTAGCAATGTTAATTAGGAAATTCCTACCTGGCTCTAATCCAGGGTTTGGTGTGCATGTCCAAACCACTTCCCCAGCTGCCGTGCTTTTCTGATGCTGGTGGCAAAAATCCCCTTTCTGGGGCCAGCTCCTCTGCAATCGCCCTGATGTGGTAGGGCTCAAATCCACAGCACCCGCCAATGTACCTGACCCCCAGCCTGTAGGCCTCTCTGGCGTATTTCTGAATATCCCATCTGGTTGCAGCTCTGGGCTCCAGTCCTGCAACACAACCATCACAGTATTGCTGTTACTGTCCCTGTATTCAAATCACAGGTGCTCCGAGGGCATTTTTTACAATTAAAAAATGATGAACTTTAGGTTCTGCTCATTTTTAGTTAATGTTGAATGTGTTTGTCTTAAGCAGTCTCTTTTAGTGAGACCGTACCGAAGCTGTTCAATATAGCCCTTTCCACATTATCAGAACAAGAAAATGCGAGGACCTCTCATATGTGCCTGGGCTTACCAAAGGGATATTCTGGGAGATCCACAAACCCTCCTTTGCCACAGTCTGGTGTATGGAACCCTAGGGACTGCACCATCAGGTGCGCCTTCAACCCCGCAGCCTGTAGGCCCTTTTTCATGAGCTTCATTGTCTTCAAGCTGGTGCTGGGCCCAAATCGGCAGTTCACGCCCACAATCGCTGCCCCTATGCAAAGAAATAAAGAACTTAGATATTTTATGTATTCTATTTTTTAATAGTTGGAAATTGCCTTAGAAATTAGCTATCCTTCAGCATTCTCAACAATAGCTAAAACATGGAAAGAGCCTAAGTGTCCATCAACGGACGAATGGATCAAGAAGATGTGGTTTATCTATACAATGGAATACTACATGGCAATGAGAAAGAATGAAACCTGGCCAGTGTAGCAACATGGATGGACCTTGAGGGTGTTATGCTGAGCGAAATAAGTCAGGCAGAGAAGGACAAATATCATATGTTTGCATGTATAGGAGGATTAGGAGGAACTTAACTGAGGACCATGGGGGAGAAAAAGGGGGGAAGTGGTGGGGGAAAGGGAGAGAGGCAAACCATGAGAGACTCTTGAATGCTGAGAACAAACTGAGGACTGATGGATGTGGGGGGGGGAGGGGGGTGATGGGCACGGAGGGGAGCACTTGTGGGGATGAGCACTGGGTGTTATATGGAAACCAATTTGACAATAAACTATTTGTAAAAAAAAAAAAAAAATTAGCTATCCTTCTCTACCACACAAGTTTTACAAATAAGCAAACAATTCCAGTTCATTCTTTCAGCGCTGAGCTGCTCTCACAATAAGAAGCAAACTTTGTTAGATTTTATAAATGAAAGCTGAACTGCTTATCACATGATGGGTCCAAATTACCTGCCTTCACCAGTTTAACAGCACATTCTCCAGGTGGTACACCGTGCATGTCTCCGTCTGGGCCGATGCACATGGTAGCTGCCACGGGTTTGCCCAACTCTTTTAAGACTTCCACAGCCCAGATGGCTTCTTCGGCATGCTCAAAATACTAAGAGAAATTTCACCATTTCTATTGATCCAAATGGAAAGCGGATTTTGAAAGGTGGAAAGCAAATGTTGCCGAACAGTTATAAAAATAATCAAATAAATAATATGGGATAAAACTTGCTAGGAACAGGTCTTTACCAAACTAAAGAATACTTTTCTTTCTTTTTTTAAGTTTATTTATTTACGTTGAGAGAGACAGCTCGAGCGATGGGGGAGAAACAGAGAGAGAGAGATTGAGAGAGAGAGAATAGTAAGCAGACTGAGCCCAACATGGAGCCCAACGCCTCACTCGATCTCACGACCCTGGGATCATGACCTGAGCCGAAATCAAGAGTCAGACGCTCAACCAAAGTGAGCCACCCAGGCACCCCTAAAGAATGCTTTCCTAAAATACATATTTTAATTCCTTTAACAATAATATGTAGATTTTCATTCAGAGATCATTGATTCAGCAAGATGATGACTGTTACAAAAAAAAAAAACAAAAGCAAAAAACACAAAGGTTTTTAAAGTCATTAAGTATTTAAATTCATAATTTTGAAGGAATGAAAGTTTTACTAATAAATTATAGATTCCTCTTTTATGGAACTAGGGTAATTGCTGAAAAAATTATGAATAGTTTATTATGCTTTATACTTCAAAGTGATTTTACATTCACTTCTAGTTAGATGTTCATAAGTGCTCCAGGAAGTAGGGAGAAATATGATGGTTTCTGCCTGGCGAGAACGCTGAGGCACAGAGCAGAGAGGAATAGCTACCGAGTTTCTTTGCCGAGGGTGGACAAGACACTTGTGTGGTAAACCCAGGCCATTTGCAGGGGTACTTCCCAGGAATCTCCTTAAGGGCCACCAGTGAAAAGCTGACCTTAAGTAAGTGAAGAAAAGCCAGCAAAAATCTCCCTGTCTTCTTCCTCCTTGACTTAGATTCTGCGGAAGCAGCATGTGAGGAATGTCAGAGTAGTCCACAGAGATGTTCTTGCAAAACCAACTTGTGTTCTCACCCATCTGGAGAACCTGTCAGGTGGGGCTGGTGCCCATCTCTGCAGATGATTGTTGCCAGGTGTGTCTGTCAGGCTTGGTGAGCCCTGAGCCTTGGGAAGGTTGACCATGTAAGGTCTTCAGTGGGTTCAGAGAGTGGTTAGGGAAATAGCCGTTGGGAGGCTATTGTCCTTGTAGAGGGTAGAGATTTGGGTTGAGAGCTTGACTTCATGTGGTAGCAAAGGTGGGAAATGGGGAATGAGGGCTTTTTTTTTTTTTTAAATGTTCATTTAATTTTGAGAGAGAGAGAGCAAGAGAGAGAGCAAGCCAGGCAGGGGCAAAGAGAGGGGTACAGAGGATCCAAAGCAGGCTCTGTGCTGACAGCATTGAGCTCGACATGGAGCTCAAACTCATGAACTCTGAGATCATGACCTAAGCCGAAGTCACATGCTCAACTGGTTGAGTCACGCAGGTGCCCTGGGAATGAGGGCTCTTTAATTTTTGGAAGTGGAAAGAAATAAATGTTCTGGGCCTTCATGTCCAATCAATGACCAATTCCTAACTGATTCTTTCTTCAAAATATCACTCACATATTATAGCTTGAGGGAAAGCAGAGGAATGGGAGTACGCAAAACATGAACAGAGGAGGGCAAGGAAACTGCTTGGTACTGAGTATTATTAGTGGGGCCTGCATGACTCTGAGCACCCATCTACCTCCTAAGCTTTGCTCTCTCACAGCCTCTAGCCCATGCACACAGCTCCTTCCAGCTCTGTCCCTCCAGAAGGAGAGGCTGTTCCCTGAATCACAGTCCCCTTCTTACTCAACATTACATGGTCCCCTGTGAGTCAGCTGCTATAACCATCCAAAAGAAAATCAAGGCTACAGTTAGGCCTGTCTTGCGTCTGCCCTTTGGCTTCACACAGAACCTAGCGTACAATCGAGAGGCTGTTTGCCTTGACTACAGAGCATTTAAACAAACCTTTGACCCTGTACCTGAGGAAATGAGGACACAACGCAATCCGATACCCTCCCTGAAAACCAAGCCGAAGACTCTGCAGTTGTATTTGTCAGAATAGAGTCAATCCTTTCCCCTGAAACACTAGCCTTACCTCTGCAATCAAGAAGTCCACATTTTTCCTGGCAAAAACATCTAGCTGGAGTTGAAACTGTTTTTTAACTCTAGCTTCATCCTTGTGGTGTTTGTACATGGATGTCTGGCAGATCCCCCCTGCCACCAAAGCATCACCTTTGCCAGCCACTTCCCTGGCGAGGTCACAGGCAGCAGCGTTCACATCTTCCCACTGAGGTTGGAGAGCAAGGGTTTGGATGTGAGCCCAGCATTTTAGAGATAAAATAGCATAAATAACAAAGAGGGCAGTGAGCAAGCAACATGAGTTCAAGGCATGGTTAAACTGCAATTCGAGAAGACCAGCAGAGTTGGGTACCTTCTCCTCTACTACCTGTGAGCTTATAGTTCCATGATTGTACTTGCCACACTGGATTTTTGTAAATGTTTGTTAGTTTGCCTCCCTCACTTGACTGTGAACCACTTAAGTATAGGGTATGAGGCAGATGAATAGATAAAAAGATGTGCTATGTATGTACACAATGGAGTATTATTTGGCAATCAAAAAGAATGAAATCTTCCATTTATAACTACATGGATGGAACTAGAGGGTATTATGCTAAGTGAAAATAGTCAGAGAAAGACAAATATCATATGACTTCACTCATATGAGGACTTTATGATACAAAACAGATGAACATATAAAGGAAGGGAAGCAAAGATAATATAAAAACAGGGAGGGCGACAAAACATAAGAGACTCTTAAATACAGAGAATAGAGAGTTGCTGGAGAGGTTATAGAAGGGGGGATGGGCTAAATGGGTAAGGGGCATTAAGAAATCTACTCCTGAAATCATCGTTGCACTAAATGCTAACTTGGATGTAAACTTTAAAAAAAAAAAAGGAATAGGCTCTGTGGCTTTCTTTCATCTTTGTTTCAAGCATAGAGATTGGACTATTACTCAATAAATGTTGGTTAGTTGAATGAATAAATGGGCATGAACATTTGCAAGTATTAATACTTTACATGTACAGAATATCTCACAGTACTTCCACATTCTTCTCCCTATCTACATTTCTCAACAACCCTATGCATTTAAGCATAAATTATCTCTATATGCAGAGAGAAAACCAATGCTCCATGCAGTCAAGTGTCTTGCACCAAGTCACACACCCAACACATTACAAAGTTGGGTATCAAACCCAATTCTTCTCATTCCTAGGCCAGTGCCGTGTTCTCAAGGATGACTCTGTCTCCAGATGGACAAGTCAGAAGAGAAGAGAGTGAAATAAGGTGAAAAGGGCATCTATAAAGTCTTTTTTCTCTACAAAAAAAAATGCACAGAAGGATGACCATGTCCTTCCAATGGCCTATTCTTTCCCAGCCCTACCCTCCACACCGGCCCCAGCTAAAATGGCAGAAAAAAAGCTCATTTATTTAGTATATATTCATTTACAGAATAATCAATTCTTTAATAGACGTTTTGTGTGGAGTTTGTAACATAGTAACACATCAGGTCAATTCCATAGTTTCCCATCAAGAGGTTATTTTTATTACAGATGATCCCTGACACTTCCCCCTCCTCCCCCCATCATGCCTGCTCCCACCAAAATTACCTTGCTCTTCATATTGTCCTCACTGGCAAAAAAGGTGAAAGTCTGCATGACATTTGATCCCGCTCTCAAGAATTCCATGTGAAGTTGACGAACTACAAGGTAGTTTTTTGAATTAAAATTAAAAAGATAAAATCATAGGAGCTATCGTTTACAGCAAAAGCAGCGTACTCACATCTCTTTTAACCAGACACATTTTAAACCTAGTACTTATAAAAAATTGCAGATTACAGTCAGTAGAATTCAAGGACAGGACAAGGCGGAATCAATACCAAATTGGGGCTCTTTGGAGTGGCCTCATATTGTCCTGGCGATGGGCCTCAACAGCCTGGTGCAGCCACAGGCAGAGATTAAGGCCTGGTTGGCCAACTGCCCCTTGGTCTTTCCATCTAGAGAGGGTTTATTCATTTGCTTGTGTTGTGAGGGATATGGCTGGTCTACTTACAGTCAGCACTGGGAGACCTCAAAAAAGAATGAGGAAATTCTCATATTGGACAGAGTATATGTGGGTCATGCCCCCATCAAACCGATTCAACAGCAGGTGGCTGCTAAGGTTGCCCGCAGGGAGCTTCCGTTGGCCTGTCACAACACCCTTCCCTTCTTTCTCCTCATCCTTGCTGTTTCAACACTTTCTGGTTTAGCACAAAAATCTTCTAAAATGAAAAACAGGCGTGCCTGGATAGCTCATTTGTTTGTGTTTGACTCTTGATTTTGGCTCAGGTCATGATTCCAGGGTCATGAGATCGAGCCCCTCGTCAGGTTCCACGCTGACAGCATGAAGCCCCCTTGAGATTCTCTTACTCCCTCTCTCTTTGCCCCTCCTCTGCTCGAATACGCACATATGCTTCCACCATGTGCACTCTCTTTCTCAAAATAAATAAACTTAAAAAAAATTAAAGTGAAGAACAAGCTTTCCTTGGGCCAGAGGAAAACTTCATGATAAGCACCAGAGAAAGAAAACCTGGTCCTACCACATAACTCTGGGTGTTTGATGAAACAATGCAAATACCATCAGGGACTTACAACATGTGGGGCTCTTCATACTGGCTAACTCATGAGTCCTCACAACTAGCCCATCTCACACCCTCATGTGGCATGGATCAAGACACGGATCCTTGGGGAAGTCAAGTGACTCATCCGAGGTCACACGGCTGGTCGGTGGAAGAACCAAGACAGGATCCCAGGCTTCTCGGATACACCACGCATATATGCATAAAGTCAGAGCAAATCGAACCGTCCATTCCCAGCTTGTATCCATTTCATTCTTTCACTTTATTTTCCACTTTAATTTAGGACATTGCTCTCAAAACAGAGTAAAAATAGAATGAAAGCTCCAGTTTGATGTTACTCACCAATCCCATCCCAGTTTCTACCTCCAACTCTTATTGCTTTTTGTCTAGCTAAGGGGATGAGGTGAAACTGTGTTTCTTTCTTCACACCCCTCTCCCTCCAACAAACCCCAAATGTCTACTGTCTATGCTCTGTTAATCTGGTGGTTACCATTAGTCATCTTTACCAAACACACTGTTCTAGTATAAGATGCAAATTAGCCGAAGGATTAATGTGAAGCCATAACACATTAGGCTAAGGAAACTCTTGAGTATCCCCAAGGTGAATAGTCATGGAATGAATATTAAGGTGTATAATTTAACACCTCCTGTATATGAAGATGTGAGTGTGCGTGAGTTGGGGGGGGCGGGTAGAGGACATTTTCTTCTATGTGCTTTAGCTCATGTACTGTCACTGTCTCTATCTTGGCAACTCTGGCAAGGGGAACAGTCCTTAGAAAACACTGAGATTTATTCCCTTATCTTCTCTCAGTCAGAGTTAAGCAAACTGTCACTCAGATGAACACTCTTGGGCTGCAGTCACTGACCTGCATCTGGATGTTCCACCACGGCTTCTGGAGTCCAGAGCCCAGCCTTCACGTAGCCTCTCTTCTCCAGAGTTACGAGAAAGCTGCCGTCTCCAACCACAACCTCCCCACTCTCCAGACGTTCCAAAATACCCTGAAGGAAAGAAAGAAAAATCACCCAAGATGCTTCTTTTTATTTTTTTTCCTTAAAGCAGTTCCCAATTTTAGGAAAGATGGTCCTGTGTTTTTATAGATCCAGTTCTGCTAAAATCCTCAATGTCTAACAATATTCCAGAAAGATTGAGTATACTATATTTCTTGGACATTCCAGGTACGTGTGTTGTGCAAAGTGCTGTGACTGTTTTTTCTCAAATAACATCTAATCGGAGTCAAATTCTAGTAAAAGGGCTGAATCTGCGATATTTTGGTTTTTCAATGTGTTTGTGGCAGACATGGATAGTTGCCTAATTATTATGTGTTTTCTCATCTCTTCTTTGTTAATGTATATCATTTGGGGAGACAATGTCCCCAACTTAAAAAAAATTCTTGGGCAGGGGGCAGGCCATGCCTGGGTGGATCAGTCGGTTAAGGATTGGACTTTAGCTCAGATCGTGATCTTGCAGTTCGAGGGTTCAAGCCTCACATTGGGCTCTGTGCTGACAGCTTAGAGCCTGGAGCCTGCTTTGGATTCTGTGTCTCCCTTTTTCTCTGCCCCATCCTGCTCCTTCTATCTCTCAAACATAAACCAACATTGGAAGAAAATTTATAAAAAAATTCTCAAGATGCTCAGTCAGTTAGGCCATTCGACTCTTGGTTCCTGCTCAGGTCACGATCTCACAGTTTTTGGGATTTATCCCTGCCTTGGGCTCTGCAGTGACAGCATGGAACCTGCTTGGGATTCTCTTTCTTCCTCTGTCTCTGGATCACACTCTGTCTTGCTCTCTCTAGAAATAAATAAACTTAAAAAAATTCTCGGGCTCCCTTGGCACTGTGGGAGGGGGGCATATGACATAGAGCTGGCCAATGAGACATGTGTGGAAGCCAGTTAAAGATTTCTGGCAAAGTTTTACTTTCCTGATATAGATGGGCCCTCTCTTCCATCATGGCATTTTTTTCTCCTTCCTGGTTGGAATGTCAACATAAGCCATGGAGGTAAAATTGTTACCTTGCAGCCATGCCATCTAAAGTCACACACTAAGCCCAGTGGAGCCAACTAAGAGCAGCTGTAACTCACCGTTGCGGTGTTTTAATGACATCTTTAAGTAGCTGCAGCAGCCACAGATGGTTAGATCTCATGTTAGGTGACAAAACTAGCCTCATTTTCTGTAGAAACCACAGAAACATAATCCTAAGGGACACAAAGTTCACAACTGTGCCCTGCATTTTCCAGCATGTTCATATACATGTTTTCATTTTGTACTCCCGACAGCTGTCTGAGCTACGCAGGGCAGATGGTTTTTATTCCCATTTTATAAATGAGGAAACTGAGGTTCAGAGAGACTTAGTGACTTGTCCAAGATCACAGAGCTAAGAAAGATCACAAAGTTAAAGCGGACTTTAGATCTTCTAAATTCCTGATCTAGTCTCTTTCTTATCCCACCTTTCTGTGTGGCCCACCCACACTTGAATAAAAGGCTGTATCCAGAGCAGTTCTCCAAGAGCTTACAGTTTCCATTATCTAACAGGTGCCTCCCCCAGACACTTGCATGTCTCACCCTCTCACTTCCTTCAGGGTTTCAGTCAAGGGTCATCTTCTCAGGGAGGCGTTCCCTGAGCATCCTATAGGAAAACTGCAAACACCCCCATGGTGGCCCCTATTCTGCTTGTGGAGACTGGATTAGTCGAAGATACAAACTTTTATTGAAAATGCAAGGCCATTTCATTTCAGCCCTGTCTACAGCTGGACACACAGCAATGCACGAGTGGGAGAGAAATGCCTCCAGTTGCCCCTTCTAACCAGTCATATCTGCAGTCCAGGAAGACACATTAGAAAGAGTTGCACTGGAGGCCACCATATCTGGAGCATCTGCACTTTCCTGTGGAGGGAAGTGGAATGGAATACAAGCGGTGTTAGGTATGCTAACCATAAACACTGCTTTGATCAAGAGGGCTCCTGACTCTGGTTATTCTTCCATGTTTTATATCTAAAGATAAATTTTAGCTGAATGTGGAAGAAATGTTAATATTTATTATGCTTCTCACCTATTTCTCTATTCCTTCCATAACATGCAATTTGCTCTTTTAATTTTGTACTTTTGAAACACAAAAAAAGGACTTTAGCTTTACACTTTCATGAGAACTTTTCACATGCTGGGCACAGTTCCACGGGAGAGGGATAAGCATTGGACTAAGACAGGGTCCCTGCCCTCAAGCAACTCAAAGTCTGCCCACCGGAGGAAGGCTAGTGGGTCAACGAGTCATTGCAACACATGTAACAAGTAAATGCTGCAGAGGACTACAGAAGAGAAAATCAGGGGTATAGTCATCTGTATAAAATCTCATCTTGAAAATCTAACTCTTCCGTTATAAGTTAACTATGTTGAGAATCAAATTTAATAGTACACACCAAACAATTCTAGAGGGGGAAAACATGGGCATACAATTTAGGTGTTATAGGTTAGTACCTCACCTCCCACATCCAACCTGTCTCAGGGTTGCACCAAGTGTATCTATTTAACACTTTTTATATACGCCCCCCACCCCATCCTTACTGCCCCTGGATTATTGAAATGGCCTCCAATTCACCCCAGCCCACTCTGCTGTATCTCCCACTGCTGCAGAGCAAAGCCTTGCTTATCCGACTCTTATGATTACTTCCTCCTTTGTGTTCTGCCTCAGGTCAAACACCCTCCATTCCTGCATCTGTCATCTGTAACCACAGTATGTGGTTACTTACCTGTCCCCTCTATTTGGCTTTAAAATGCTTGAGGCTCAGATGACAAATCTCATTTGTCTGTATCCCTACCACCTCATACAGTGCCTGACAAAGAGTAGACCCTTAATAAACCATGCCACGATTCAGCAGACAGCTAAGACTTTTGAAAATGTCACTTGTGATAGATATGCTACAAGTTTGGTCCTGAGGAGAGAGGAAAAAAAATGACTCTTCAACAGAAAATAAGTTAGCCAGAGTTTTAAGAAAATTATAGTGCCTATTTTGATTATAATCTTCATGATAACAAGTTGAGGCATTTTGATCCGTTACCTAGATGTTTGTCCAAAATTTTAAATTTTTGCCAGTTTTCTTAAAAGCTATTAGCAAAATGACTACATTATCAAGACTTGAATTCAGAGCACCCTTTGGCCTCTCCTTCACTGCTCTCTCTACCACCCTAATTAATTACTACACCAGGATGATCTTAAGACAGCTCCAGAATGACAGGGACTGTGTAAAATAAAGAGCACTGTAAATTAATTTGCAGTACATTTATATTTTCATTCCATCCTCCCTTTCAGTTTGGCAGTGAATCTGCCTTGGAACTCGTAGTGAGCTCTGAGAGGCATTTATGCTTCCTCCTGTTGCAGATATCAGTATATACTTCTGGATTTAAGATCTGGCTTCAGGGCACCTCTGATCAGACAGAGGAGTAGACCAACTTCACCCTCTGGCCAGAGGCTGCCTGAAATGGCAACCAGGACTGCTCTTGCAGATTAATGAAGCTGGGAAGTGTCCCCTATGGCAATTAAATGAATTCTTAAAATGCACCTGTTGGCTGACAGGAGAGATTAGCTGCTTCCCACTAACATTTTAACTCCAAGGTACACATTAACATGGGTTATCATACGATAACCTTGGCGTTTCAAGAGCAGAGGCTGGGAAGAAATTGAAAAAGGGACAGCATATTTTAAAAAACCTTTTAAAGAATGAGCCAAAGATAACACAGTAATACAGAAAGTTTAGAGAAAGAAATTGACACAATGTCCTTTATCTTTTATTAAGCTCATTTTCTTCAATGCCCATATTTTACTTTTATAAAACATATCCAAAGATTTTTTTTGGTTAAAATTGTTAAATCCATATTCCACATCTTATGCAACTATTGCCATTATTATTTCTTTCTTGCACTGCATACGGAAATATTTTTACATAGTTGGGGTCAGTCTGTACACTATAACTCCTTTCGTAACTTACTATTGTCACAGTAGTTTGCTTGTTCTCATACTTAGCTTCTTAATTGGCTGCCTAATAACTTATTAGGTGGATGCACCTTTACTTAAGGAGCCACCATCGGTGGGCATCTTAGTTGTTCCGAAATTTTAGCAGAAATAGATCAGTTGTGCACACTTTCATGCCTACATAGCTTCTCCCTTCCCCACTGTGAATTTCCAGGCACAGCTGGCTTGCTTTGAGGGATTCTGGAGATGTCCTGCAACCAAGTTTATACCTTTCCTAATTTTGTTTTGTCACCCCTTCTCCTAACCAAGTACTCACCTAGCATAGAAAAGATGGGGGTACAAAGCTGACACTTCATGGGGCGCCTGGGTGGCTTAGTCGGTTAAGCGTCTGACTTTCGCTTAGGTCATGATCTCGCGGTTCGTGGGTTCGGGCCCCGCGTCGGGCTCTGTGCTGCCAGCTCAGAGCCTGGAGCCTGTTTCAGTCTGTGACTCCCTCTCTCTCTGACCCTCCCCTGCTCACACTGTCTCCCTCTCTCTCTCCTAGAAATAAAAAAAAAAAAAAAGCTGACACTTGGTGAGCAGACAGGAAACAAGGCCTAGAGAACGAGCCAGAAAGATGGGCCCTACTGCTGANGCAGAGAGCCGCCCCCCCCCCCCCCCCCCCCCCCACCAACCTACGGACTCTCCTACCAGCCCCCACTCCGCGGCTGGGGTCTGGAATCATCTTGCACCCTGGTTTCAGGCCAGCACATTAGTTGCAGGGCCAGGCTCCCACCCTTCCCAAAACATGTGGGAACCAAGCTCTGGGGCCATTGAGCCAAAGACCCGAGGGTGCAGATAGGCTAGGGTAGAAAATGTGAGAGCGGCCCCTGAGTCCGGAGCTAGACTTCAAATCCCGGCTCCACCCTGGATTAGGTGGGTGACCTTGAGCTAGTGGCCTGACTCTCTGGGCCTCAGTTTCCTCACCGGAAAAATGGGAATTATTGTGAAAACGAGAAAATGTGCATAAAGCAGTCTGCGCAGTGTGACTGAGTCAGGGCTCAATAAATATTACCCCGAGATTGTTAGCTAACCCTCAATACAAGGCGGTATTGTCACCCCTGGCAAGTGGCGAACGCGTAAACCGAGGCACAGAGCTCTCCAGGTGCCCGGCCAGGGCCGCAGAGCTCAGCCAAGGGCTGAAGTGGGATCTGAACTCTCGGCGCCGGGGGAGCCCCGCGGCCAGGAGCGCTGAGTCCCTAGCGGGCTCCCGGAAACTCACCGTTTTGGCCCCGGGGCCTCCGGCAGGTGCCATCGCGCCGCGTCTGTGTGGGCGCCCCGTCCGTGAGAGCGCGCCAAGCTCTCGAACCCGCCCCTCGTCCGGGGGAGGGTCCCGCAGCGGCGCCGCCGGCCGCGCCGCCCCAGGGTGTCGGGCGGCCTCGGAGCAGGTGCCCGCGCCCGCGCCCTCGGCCTCCTCGGCCTCCTGGGCCTCGCCATGCTCCGCCCGGGCGCGCAGCGGCTGCGGGGCCTCCTGCGGCCGAGCCTCCCGCCGCGGGGCTCCCCCGGCCGCCTACGCTCAGCCTGCGGCCGCCAAGGGTGAGTGGGGGCCCGGCCCGCGCCGAGGCCCGCGGACCGGCCGCTGCCGGGGTGGGAGCCAGGGGGCCTGAGGCCGGCCGCCGGGTCAGGGGCGCGTCGGCCTCTGAGAAATGGGCATTCGGATTTCTTCTAGATTTACGTGCTTTCTTTTACACGCGCTCGTGTACAAAGTGAAACAGTATCAGAGGTTTCCCAGTGGAAGGTCACTCCTACCCCCTTCTCTTTCCCAGCCAGCTGTTACCAGTGTCTTCTGTATTCTTCCAGAGACTGTCTATGTGTAAGCAAACACAGGTGTGTATGTGTTCCTCCCTGCCTTACTTACACCTTGCTTTTTACGTGACGTGGAGAAGCCCACGATCCAGCTAGGAAGAAAGTCACGCGAATAAATCTATTAAACCGCTGAGCAGTAGCTGTAAAATTAGAGAAGTCTGTATGTGGTGAGGAAGTGAAACGAAGAAGAACGTTTTACTCCATCTGGCTCTCCTTAGCCTGGAAACCATTGGATGGAGGAGATGATCCAAGATTTATAGGAGCTAAACTTCATAATTACGGTTTTTCGTTGGAATAGAATGATTATAAGTGTGTTCTTCAAGTATACTGAAAACAATTATTCTTTAACTCTTTTAGGAAAAAAACAGAAGTTCAATTCTTCAGCTGTATTAGTTAACTGCAATGGACCAGAATTATATGGAATAGGATTCAAATGCCTCCTCTCCCCTCCCTTAACCAGGTTGCTTCAATCAGGGTTTCGATGTCCAATGTTTAAATAAGCACTATGCAACCCTCACAGGCACTGTTAAGTTTCTAGAGACACAGAGGGGGCGCCTGGGTGGCTCAGTCGTTTAAATGTCCGGCTTTGGCTCGGTCATGATCTCCCGGTTTGTGGGTTCAGGTCCGGCCCTGTGCTGACAGCTAGCTCAGAGCCTGGAGCCTGTTTCAAATTCTGTGTCTCCCTCTCTCTCTGACCCTCCCCTGCTTGCGCTGTCTCACTCTCTCTCTCAGAAATAAATAAAAACATTAAAAAAAAAAAAAGATACTGGAGACACGAGAAGATGTACATTAGCCAGAAAATCTATAGCTACCATAACCTCGTAAACTACCATTTATAAAAATTGTCTTCCAGAGAGGAAACCCTCCCCTCATCTGCAGAAACAAGATGGAAAGACAGAGCAGAAACCGTGATCATTGGAGGTGGCTGCGTTGGTGTGAGTCTGGCTTATCACCTGGCCAAAGCAGGGATGAGAGATGTGGTCCTCCTGGAAAAATCAGAGCTCACTGCTGGATCTACCTGGCACGCAGTAAGGAAAGCCCCTTCAAACTGTCACGTGCACTGAGCTGTGTGCACCAGTGCAATTGACATTCTTCTCATTACAGCTCCCCACTTTGAGGTCTTTAGAGTGAGTCTCCCTTCAACAGTATTGGAAAGTGCAGTTGCAGTTTAGTGAGCAAAATTTATAATATTTGCATCTTGAACATATAGCTTCTGGATTCAGTCCTGGCTCTGCCATTTCCTACCCATATGACTTTTGGCCGGTTACCTCAGTTTCCATTTCCTGATGTGCAGAAAGGAAATATTCACAGTACCTAGCTCATAGGGTTGTGGTGAAGATGGAGTTAATATGTGTGAAGGTATTAAACACATGGTAAATGTTTAACAAATGTTAGCTTTTTTTTTTTTAATGTTTTATTTATTTCTAGGAGAGAGAGAGAGAGAGAGACAGCATGAGCAGGGGAGGGTCAGAGAGAGAGGGAGCCACAGACTCTGAAACAGGCTCCAGGCTCTGAGCTGACAGTCAGCACAGAGCCCGACGCGGGGCTCAAACCCACGAACCGCGAGATCATGACCTAAGCGAAAGTCGGACGCTTAACCGACTAAGCCACCCAGGTGCCCCTAACAAATGTTAGCTTTTGTGTGGAAGGATATAGCTGGATGATTGCAAGTATAGCCAGAGACCTTCACCTACATTCCCCTCACCTGGGTTTCGTGGTCTTTTAATTTTTATATATGATTTTAATTCTGCACCATGAGACAACAGCTTGGCTTCATGAGGCTGAGAGCTGTGAGGGCTGAGAACATGTGATGTTGCTTTTCTGTGGTAGTAAATAAACATGCAGCCTCTTCACTTGGACACATTTAATAATACAAATAATTGTCCCAGCACTACACAATAATTGGGCTGAAATGGAAAGTTGCTCAGGTAAGTGAAGTGATTGACACTGCTCTCATACCCGTCTGCCATACCAGTTATTTCTGAAGTCAGCTACGGAAGGAGAGGAAGTTTTTGTGACTGTCGGTACATATTCCTTTTGGAGAAAGAGTTGGGCAGTGTTAGCCGCTGCTCATCATCCCTTTCTGACATTAGTTTTCCTCTGCTACGTCAGGAGGGAACCCTGCTTTTCAGGGACTTTTGAATCTAGAACCCGTTCAAGGTTTGGGGGGTATCAAGCACTGAAAGGGCTGCCTGTGTCCTGTTGAGATCAGGGGCCAGTGCAGCCCAGACTTAAGCCCACCTGGCCGCTGGGTCCTGGTGGTCTCAGAGTCAGACCACACTCACTGGTTGGATGGAGGCTCCTAGGAAAGTCATACCAAGCCCACCTCCTCTTCCCTGTCTCCTTTCTCTCCAGTCCCCTCATTTCTGGGTCTGAAAGGGAGGTCCAGGCACCTGTTCTTCCCTGGGTGTAATTTCAGAGCCTTTACAGGCATACCATCTCTTGTTTCACTGTTTGTCTCTCAGCTCGCTTCCTCCTACCTGGAGAGAGGGTCTGGGAAGCCACCAACACTCCTGGCCCTTCTCCCCTCCCTGAACTAGACTTTCTATGCAGGCTTCATGTTATCAAGCAAAAGGAAGCCTGCATTTCTCCCATATCTCTCCTGGCACTTCTCCTTCGTGGACACTCACTCAACCTTTCAGCAAATATTCACCGAGAGCTTATATTGTGTCAGGTCAGCCCTGGTCTGAGAGGTGGGGCCACAACAGTGAATATAGCTAAGTCCCCGCCCTCATGGAGCCACGTTCTGGTGTGGTAAACAGAAAACACACAAACAATGCCTGAGAGTAATCAGTGCCTCAAAGAAGAATAAAGTGCGATAGAGGGATGAAGAATGGTGGGGTGGAGAAGGCAGAAGGCTACTTTGAGGAGGTGACATCTCAGCGGAGTCCAGAAAGAACTGAACAAGGTGCTGGTGAGGCCATCCAGGTAAGAGCATGTAGGCAGAGGGACATTGAGGCAAGGGAAATATCCTGAAAGGGAGGCTTATACCCTTTTAATACTTCTGGATTGTTAAACAGGGCAGACACTAATGTTTTAATTACTTATTTGCTCATTTAGATTGGATTGATTTGATGTGACCTACATTTTAGAATAGATTACTGGATTCCCTATCTTATCACCTCTCAGACATTCTATGAATGAAAAAACAAAAACCAACATACTCTTAACCTAAGATTTTTTGAGAAAAGTGGGCAAAGATTTTAAGATGATAGCTTCTGGTTCAATTTTAACAGTGCCAAATAATTCTTCCTTAACCAGAGAGATGCCAGAGTGAATGGAGAAGGCATTCTCCTGCTTCATGCACAAGGTATTATGCTATGGTTTACAAATTGAGATTCATACAGTGTGAGCTCAAGATGGACTCAGGCATCAGAAGCCAGGTTATTTGGCCCCCTGGAAATAAAGAAAAAGGAAAGAGTGTTGCCCTATGAAGTGGCTCCTAGGAACTTTTACAAGTCAGGGAGGCCTCCCTCTGAGGAACAACATGAAGAAATTACACATATTAGGAATTTGTAACGCAGATAAATATTAGGAGCAGATATAAGAATGTAGGTGTTTGGGGAGCCAGCTAAAGCGGGAGGGTACAAAAATCACAGCAGTCTCACTGAAGTATAACATGTGCTTAAGGTTTATATCTGCAAAGTGCAGGAATCAAGTACTTAGTGAGGAAGGCACAGCTTGTAAAGTGAATATTAAAAATGAAGTCACGCTGGGGCACCTGGGTGGCTCATTGGGTTGTGTCCGACTCTTGATTTAGTCTCAGGTCATGGTCTGCACAGCTCCTGGGATTGAGCCCCAAGTTGGGCTCTGTGCTGACAGTGCAGAGCCTGCTTGGGAATCTCTGTCTCCTCTCTCTGCCCCTCCGTGTCTGTACTCGTATGCTCTCTCTCTCTCACAAAAAAACACTTAAAAATAAAATAAAATAGGGGTGCCTGGGTGGTTCAGTCGGTTAAGCGTCTGACTTCAGCTGAGGTCAGTATCTCACAGCTCATGAGTTCGAGTCCTGCCTAGGGCTGTGTGCTGACAGCTCAGAGCCTGGAGCCTGCTTTAGATTCTGAGTCTCCCTCTCTCTCTCTCTGCCCCTCCCCTGCTTGTGCTCTGTCTCTCTCTCTCAAAAATAAACATTAAAGAATAATAATAAAATAAAATAAAACTGGAGTCACAAATCTAAAAATCCTGAGGTTTTGCCATATTTTAACAGCACTGCTCTGTCAGCAGGTGACACTAGTACCAATATAGAGCATTTCATGTAGGAAGGATGGAAAGGGGAGAAGATGGAGCAAGAGACAGCTTTGAAGCATGGGCTCCCCAGGAGAGGCAGCCCCTGGGGACTGTGCTAAGCATGAGTGTTTTAGAGAACTGAGGACTGAAGATCTAAAGATGCAGGATGCTCCTTTTGGGGTGTGGGAAGACAATATAAGAGCTTTCTGCTTATTTTTATCTACAAATGTAAGAAAGAAATTAAGCTTTAGTAGTCTTTATAAATAGCCTTTACCTTTGATGCCGGTGACATGCTGGGTATGATTTCAAGGCTGACTAAAAGAAA